GGTTCTCTTTATCTAAACCTTGTTTCCGGATGGGACGGCGTGCGGAAGGAGAAAGAACCGAGATTGAAGTTAAAACGCTTGATCGTGTGGTTTACGTAACGTTTCGTTTAACTGCATTCGGCCTGAGAAAATTGGATTGTGCCTGGAGTTGCAGATCGCCGAGCATGGAAGAACATTGCGAGGGTAACAGGATTTAACACAACGCGGTTACCGCGTTTTCGCAGTTTGTCAGCTATAATTCATCGAGAGTGAGCACGATTGTAACGTTCCGGATCCGACCGTTACAGTTTAAGTTTCGAATTGAATACACGGATATCGTTCGAACTTCTGTGTCGAGCGTGAACTGGATCGCGGTCGTTTGAACTTGAATTTCATTTCGGTTGTCGCAATTCGGATTAACATTCAGCCGTTAATAGAGAAGTTGAAATTCGTAACGGTCGCAGTCCCACCGAAATCGTGTAATGCAAATTCAGCCTCTAACGATCGGATTCGCGTCAGCGTTTAATTTCAATAATCCAATTCACATTACGGATACAGAGCAGGGGTTGGGTGCGCGATGTTCCACCGCGTTCTCGTATCATAGTACGTAGCAATAATAATGACAAGCAGCTCGGAAACCTATTTTCTTCGCTGCTGGTCCATCGGATTGTACTTCGGTTACACGGCGATACCCTTCTGCGTTGCAGCGCTTAAATTGCACGGGAAGTTCTCTGCAAATTATCATTATGCATTATGCGCGACACTTGCCCGTTACGCTAATTTATATCCCGCGATCTGCTCTACAATAATGCAAGTTCGAGGACGCTTATAACTCGCAATTCCCGACCCTTCCTACAGCCGTACAAACCAGAATACCACCTGTTCCGAACACGCGACACACTTCTTAATGTATTGTTTTACTAATGACAGCGCCTTCGCTGTATAATTGTTTCCAAATGAACTTCCAAATGAACTTACCGGATTTAGATTTAACTTCGCATTTACGAAGGTCACATTTAAACTCGAACAATTTCGTTGAATAACTATTAAAACACCAGTTTCGGCTCCAGTTTGATTTTCAATTTGCGCGAAAGATTGAATTCAATTTTATGTCTCGGCTCGCGCACGCGTTTTAGTCGCTAATTGAATTTTAACTAGCTCTCACACTTATTTAGAACGTTTTACGAACATTCCCGTGACGTTAAAGTTCAAGGCATTCAACGACCAATTAACTTGATGTACGGGGTGTTTAATTTCAATCTATCGACGTAATTATTTCCTGAGCTGTTCATTATTAAAAAAAAAAATATTTCAAGTGAACTTGCTTTGTTTCGAGGAGAACGTCATACAACGATCGTCGGGGTCTTTCAGGTATATTTAATGTATATTTATCAGGTGACCTTTGCTTTTTTAACCCTTTTCACTCGAGTAGTCACTCTGAGCCGCCACTGAAATTGTTATATCACGTTCCAAATAATGTTTATATTATCAAAGTTTTTTGGCTTCGAGTGCAGATTTATGTTTTTATTTGGCCAGGTTTGTTGTAGCTCTGTTCAAGACAATTTCATTTCGTATTCCAGGGTTATGTCAAGTTCATTTATGGTTTTCTAAATTTTCATTTCCCTCACGGAGTACAAGATTTTTCTCGTCATAGACAATATCGGCGGCAGTGTTCATAAACATGGAAAACTCAGCTTAGATGTTTGAATGATTTTGCATAATATGAAACAAAATTGGGTGTTCATGTTTGAAAACAGTATCGCCGATAATCGTGCTACATGTGTAAGTTCACGTCAAGTTCGTGAATTTCTTCGGGGAGAGAAACCTAACATTATATTTTTATTTCATGTTATAATGCAATTTTCATTTTCCATGGTTTTATGACTTCATGCGGTAGTAAGAATAAAATATGAATGCAGCGTAAATCTAGGATTAGATCGACACATTTTTTCGCACTTTTTATTCAGGATTTGTTATGATCTACTAGACATTTTATTACAATCATTATACCAATTAAGGATTTAAAAAATATCCTGTTAAAAAGCGGACGAACTACGTTCACATATTATTTTTCCAGAAATCCAATTTGTTTCAAAAATAATCCGCAGATTGTCGTAATAATAAATACTATATTGTGCATGGAATGTTTCATTGTGGAACGGGTATCTTTATAGTTTATGAAAATTAAAAGAAGTAAAATAGTATCTTTTGTTACAAGAGTTCAATTAGAATCCAAATGATAGAACTACATTCTAAGAAGCTTTCACACAATAATCTTGAATTTAAAAAAGGCAAAGTTGAGAAATTGAGTAGCTTTTCAGATTGTAAGATAGATAATATTGGGAGCGTATTTTACAAAGAGAAGGGAACAATGTCAATTTCTATCCACGTATCGGACGAAAGAATTTGTACTTTGTCAGCATCGTATATCAAGCGACGCGAACATTTGCGGTGGGCCGATGGAAAAGTTTCCGGAAGTAGATTTGTATTGATTGCTACATGTATTTGCGGTGTAACTTCACCAGAATGATCACAATTCCTATTGCTAATTCTGTTCGCTTTGAGCCCTTTGTGTCGCAACAAGAATTCCAATTTAACTGCAAATGTTAATTTAACTTGGACAGTTCGTTCGTGGATGTTGCGTAGTGTAAAAGCTTCTGCGCATTTCTACGCTGAATAATTGAAATTCGGCTTACAAATTGGAACCTTTACCAACGATCTTGCGTAACATGGAATAAATAAAAACAATTTATAAGCTTCTCGGAAAACGTAGATGCGGAGGAAAATTGTATGTCATGTAAATTACACTGGCTGCATTAGCTACAGTTTCGTTCATTTAAAGCTGCATGTAGATCCATAATGAAATCGTGCTGAAAAATTTGTCATGTTTCTACGCAATTCTAGAAACTTTAAACATTATTAAGTATTTAATCGTACAAATTAAAATAACAGATTTAAAATATTAAATTTAGAGTACTGAAAAGTCGAGAAGAAAGTGTGGGTGAAAATATACAAGTACATATACACATATAAAAATATAAATGGAAGTTGTTGAATGCAATTTTTTCATCCGAGACTATGTTTCTTGAAAAATCAAGTTAGGAAATTCATTTTATATATCATTCTTATGTTATATAATAATATTAATATTAAAATTCAACTTTCTCGGAAACTACTTTTTGAGCGAAACATTTTATTTCATATTTACCATTTATTTTTGCATAATATTCGCGCCGTGACTGCATGTACCATATATTTAAATGCACCCTGCACGATGTTTAATTAAAAAATTATTTAAAGAGTCCATTATATAGATTTTTTCTGTAGAAAATTTTTATATTGTAATTCAAAGAAGCATAGAAATGATACTTCACTAACGATTACGTCATATATGCATCCGTTGTTGATTTCTTACGCGGTTTTCCCTTCCGCTGAATATACAAGGAAATTTTGCTGCAAATAATTGGCTAGACATAAAGACATTGGATTCTCAATTGTATATATAAAGGCCAGTCATCACTTCTATCTGAAATAGTTGTAGCAGTTGCTCTTTAGATAAGTTTCAAGCGTTTGACAAGCAATTAGTTATTGAATCAAACATGAAACTTTTCCTTGTTCTCTGTGTCTTCGTTACGATCGCTTACGTGTCCGTACAAAGTGCTCCAACAGAACACCTCGACGATATGGCTAATAAGATTGGTAAGCAATAGACCTACATTGCTATATTAACACTTTAACGACCGCACGTCTACGCAGTCAAACGTCGCCAGGGGCCGGCAGTATTTTTGAAGAATTAATTTTAAAGAACTTTATTAAATTCACGAAAAAGTTAACATAAAACAAAAAACAAATAGGCAATAATTAAAAATAGGCAATAATTACCTATAATCAAAGACGTGACAATGAAATATGAAGCCAATAGCAATATCCACGCTTGTTTACATTCATAAATTATCACACAAAGAGTGTGGTACTGGCCAACAACCTTCGGCGGCAGCATCACACACATGTTGTGTGAGCGGTCGGTAACGGTTGTTCCGGCTATCACACACATGTTGTGTGAGCGGTCGTTAAAGTGTTAA